ACACACACACACACACACACACACACACACACACACACACACACACAATGCTGCAGTCTAGGGCCAGAGAGCAGAGACACCCTCTCGAGTGGATCCATCAAAATTTCTCGCCAAATAAAATGATTAGACATCATGACAGTTGTTCTGCCCACGCTGCTCTATCCCATTGGCTGATGTATGTTCTCCCTCCTTTGGATTAAGGCTAAACAATAGGCCGGGGTCCTGCTCTCTGGTGACCATGGCAACAGGTAAAAGTGGAACAAAAGGCCCTCTGGTTTTAGGCAACACAGGTGTTCTCTTACCCCATGCCCTGCGCAGAAAATCTGCCTCCTCGCCGTCCAGATACTCCTGGGGAGATAAGAGGTTACTTCAGTTTCTTACCGTGACAACTAATGTCACAAGAAAAAAAACGCCGGCAGTTTAAGTAAAAATAAAAACCCTCCCCAGATACCGACACGTTTTGATGAGAAACATTTCTTTCACAAACGACTTTGTCTGAAGAGGATTACAGCCACTTACCAACGGTCCCTCTTCCTCTGCCTCTTCCCCGTCGGCCGCGCTCTGCACCTCTTCCAGCTATTCCAGCCTTGGCTCCATCCAAGCCATTCTCCTGACCACGAACTGGAGAGAGAACAGCTTCAAATTTAGACACTACAGCATGTCAAAATAATCATATAAACTAGACTGGTTACAGTTTAGAAAGAAACGATCAACAATAATGGTTCTCTATCAGAGCCAAGTCGCCCTTCATTCAAAATTTTTAAAAGGCTCCCTGTTTTCATCTTTAAGTTATTTTTTTGCACATGTGCAACATTTTTAATCTCAATTTAATCGAACAGAAGAAACTCTTGAGACAAGTTTACGAGCTAATGTTGATGCAAACCAAACACGTTCACCGCTTCTTCACGTTGAAAGCCTCCATTGCTGAAACACTGGAGAACTTCTGATTTTAAAATACAGCCTTATTTGACAAATAACTGTCTCACAAATTGCAGATACATTTAGGAGTCCTACAGGGCTCTTGTGTGCCCATTAACGGGTCACAAGTACAGCGTTTGTTTTGATTCGTGAAAAGTGTCGAGAGAGGAAATTATCTCGAGTTGTAATAGTAGAGTGCCTGTTGCAATTTTGATTGCATCAGCGCTTCGTTCGGCTTCATTTTAAAGATACCTTCAAAATAATATAATGAATCCATAGTTAAAGAATGGTAATCACTTACACTCTCGGCCCCTGCTGGCTCCACGGCCCCTGCGTGGAGCTCCACCTCGGCGACGTGCTACATCTTTCTCTCCTCCTTTCTCCCGGTTCTCTTTTCCTTCATCTCCGGTCTCTGGCTGGCTAGTCTCCTTCTGGCCTGACACCCCTTTCTTCTTTCCCACCATTTCCCAAGAGTCCTTAGGAAGAAATAAAGACAGCGTTACACTGCTGGACTCATCGACTTTGTACTGAGTCACGATGACCAAAAACAACAACCACTGACGAAAAGTGAAGGTTAAATTAAGTATTTTATAGAGCACTGCCACATCAACAGGGAAATGTACCCACCAAAAATATGACCACAACTAAAAGAAATGTATTCATAAACAAACAGGTTGGATGTTGAGAGTTGCCTGGTGGTCAGTATAGCATTGACTTGAGACAATCGGCTGGTCAGCCAGTGAGCTAACTGGTTATTAAGAAATCTCTACACTGAGCCAGTATCTTGACAATGCAGGTAGCTGACAACCCCTTATCAGGTCTGATTAATGTGCTGGCAAAACGCATTTCCACACTTACTGGATTCAATCGCAAGCAAGGCCAACTCATACACTGTTCTTTTTAAGAACTGGTCATAGATTAAAATATCAGTCCATTACTGTTTTTACTTGGATAACGTAATTGAGACGGTAATACATTTGCTAAAGGGTCAGTAAAAATAATACACTCGGGGCATGCAGAGTTGACATACTGACCAACAGGGGAAGTAGAGAAAATGTGTTTACGGTGAATATCTTTTTGCATTTTTTTACCTTTACATACTACTTTGTCTAAACTACGAAAACCTGCCTCTGTCCACGCTCTTACAATGCTGTATTCACAGGATCCCTACTCGTACAGTGGAAACTGAAGTCCACTATCATAGTTATCTAACCCAAATTAGCACTGATCTCTCCAGGATCTGACCCTGACGGCCCTAAGCCCTCACACAAAGCCAATACTCACAGTGTCTGGGCTACCCTCCAGCAACACGTTAATGGCTCTGTTGACATCCCCGTTGCTATCGTGCAGTGCGATCATAGACTCATCCTGGTCCTTGCCTGTGATGTCAATCAGCTGCAAAAGAAGGAGTGTCATGATGAGACAGAGGTGACTCCAGGCTTACACTTCTGGCACTTGTGCCAAATGTTTTAAAAAAATAAAATAACAAAACATACATCCGAACACTGGGTTAGCTACAGAACAGTATACCTGCTAACAGCAGGGATTGAGCATCTTGGTCACTTAAGTAGCTATAACAAAGGGTTACTAACTGAAATTGCGGAGACTCATTTAATAAGAGCAGCCGGTGATATCCAGGGTGGCACTTCAATTATTTTATATATTTATTTTAATTATTTTATTTTTCTGGCAGATGCTATTAGCACCCAGGTGTCAGATGCAAACACTATTTGCACGTGGGCAAATAGTGTGGCTATTTACACCCGCGTGTATATACTATATACTATATATAGCATGGCTGAGACAAGCTCCCAGATGTCTGTAGCCAACAATGCTATTTGCACGCAAACTTGGCACACATTGCACACTGTATGCAGCCAACTGCATTTTTTTTATATATTTTTTTTTTTTTTTATTCAGAATATAAGTCATGTTAGTGTAAAAATAGCCTTCTCGCGAGACTCAACCCCCAGTCTATTGGGTGATTTGACACATTCATCCACCACAACCTAGTCCCTTCCATCACATACTGTGTCTTCCTTTTATAGTACTATTACAACTATTACTACTAAATTTTATTGCCAGAAATGACATTTTTCATCATTTCTCATAACTGAGCTTGTGCCATAAAAAAAGACGTCGTTCAAGCCTTTTTTCCGATCAATATCACACTAACACATTTTACACAGAATAGTACTATTTGAATACTACAGAACTAGGACAAAAAGTTGTGCATTTGCTCACCTGTTTGACCTTCTCCTCAAAGTCTGCATCGTTGTGGTCTGAAATCATCTGCGCCAGTCGGATCTGCTCTGCAGTAGCCTATACCAAGAAAAGCGAACACCGAATATTTATAACAAACAGAATCACAAGATTTGCATTCTTGCAAAACCAGAAAGAACAACTCATATTTAGCCATTTACAAAATCTTCAACAACAACTTGTGTACAAATACTATCTATATACTATACAAGATGTTCGCATCTAACAGAAAGCACTGGGAATGAAATTAGCACCTGCCAAAACGCAGGAAAAAATGTTGGACAATGGCATAAAGGTTATCCTTATATTAAGAAATAATATATTATAAATATTTTTAAATCCTTTCCCAAATTAAAGATTTCACAGGTGGCAGACAAAAAGATGAAGTGGCTGGTTGAAATGTTCAGTGACCTGCACCAGTGGCAGGTGGGAATTCTTTAGGGACTCTTCTCCTGATTTGTCAAAATATGGTGTCAACAGGTATCGATTATCCTGTAATACATTATTTGCTATGAATCTCATCAAAAGACAATGTCATAAGGTTTTAACTGGTATTGTTTTTCACAACCTCTTAGACAGCATATTATGCTTTTTGTATTAGAAGTTATATTGAATAATAACATCTTAATTGCTGGTGTCTGTACTATGTAACCGTAGCTTTGTAGAAACTGTGTCTAAAAAAATAAGCGACATTGAGTAATAAATTGGTTTGCCTATACTCAACCCTGGTGCACATCACTGTGCATCCCGGTAGTGAGACAGGTGGTGAGAGTGAGGGTACCTGAGGCCTCTGCTTGTGCTGTGTCTGACTCTGTGTCTGGCCCGGTGTCTGCTCCCAGCTGCCCCGGGCTCGGTTCCCACCCATGGACGTCATCATTTACAGTATATACAAATAACAGTATTTACAAAGGAATAACACCTGAGGAGAGACATATGAGAGAGGAATTACAGAGCTGTGACTATGACCTATTTTTGTCATAACGTACATGTCTGGTGCACTTGAATACTACTTCCTCAAACTGCCTGGTAGCTTATTTTATGCTTACTATTTATTTTATTATAGTTTGTTTTAACTATGTTTTTACTATGTACTGGCTCTGTGGCACTCTGAGATTTTTTTAAATGAAAAGTGCGTTACAAATAAAGTGCATTGTTATTTATTATTATTATTGCCTAATAGGGGGTAGCTAGCAGCGCTATCAAGAAGACAGCATCAGCTTTGTTTCCAGAGACGCCCGGACGTTGACAAAGGGTGTTTTCAGCCCCTTTCTAAGGCAATGTCTAAAACCGAAGCTAGCCGCGGGTCTGACCCGCGAAGCAAAAGTCATGGTACACTGGGTGGTGATGCAGTCACGGCTTACAAGTGCATAACGTTAGCGTATTTAACTCTTCAGAGCATTATGCAACGCTTTCTATATCAAAATAGCCTCGGTGGTGTTTAGTCAACCCAACGTTACATATTGTGAAACACGAGTATACGATTACAAACCTATTACAAATAGATCTGCCCTGTTATGAACACCAAACGAGAGACAAAATACAAACACAGTTCACGCATCCGACTGCATCTTTTTCGATAGCAAATTGTTAACCTTGCTATCGACAGCAACTGCTTAATCTCGCATACGTTACGTAAAACCCTGTTTGTACTAACGTTAACCCACACACTAGCCTAAAGCCGGGGCCCGTCCAACATATCTAATTCCATTTTGCCAGCCACATGGCCGAAATGCTAGCCAACTCGCTAATACTTGAGGGGAAATCATACAGCTCTGAAGTCTGGGTGGGCTTCCGCTTAACCTCATGGCGACAACGAGGCTAATTCTAACAGACGCTAGCTAACCAGCTAACGGAGTGTCGAGAATTGGCTATACAACGCTTAGTTGTTAGCGTTAGCCGACTTAGCTCGATAGCCACAAGTTAATTAGCTAATCATCTATAGGCGAGCAGTGTAGCTGTAATGTTCGACCAAACCAAAGACGCCCGTGCCACTCGGTTATCACTAGTTGTCTGCTAACGAACGTTAGCCATGCTAATTTAACTAACTACCGTCGTTTCGCACAGGTTGGCGACGTTGGCCGGTTAGCTATGTTAGCAAAGTAGCCGCTTCACAAACTACACCACCACTCTACAACATTCTAACGCCACTACATCTCTGATGGCCGGGCTCTCAACGTAGACCGAGGCTAAAGGCAGGCCTACAGGCCGCTAAAATGAAAATAAATAACAGGCGATACTGACCAGAAACCCGGCTCAATATTAGACACTGCTACACAACCGGCCGACAAGTGGTCTCGTTGTCGACCTTCTACTCGGATTTTGGACAGGATATAATTCCTGAACCCCAAGTTGATACAACTAAGTTGGGGCAATATAGCGAACCGACTCGCTCGCACAATAAGCGAGAGACTGAATTTACCTGTTTCTTTTCCACTCTGACACCACGGAGAGCTACGTCACGTGGTCTGTAGGGCGCTTCGCGGAAACTGGACCCACAACATGTCATCACACACTAGTTTAATATTATCAGCGGAGTTAGGACATGTCAGTGGCATGGATGCACAACACAGATAATGCAGATTGTGCAAATAATTGAGCAACTCTGGAATCCTTATTGAGGCTTATTGTAGTCATGCTTTGTGTGCTACATAAATAAATGTTTAGGCCCAAGCATGAATAATTAATACAATATACATCAAATTAAGTATATATGGGTTTAGTATATGCAATGTGTTATTTATATACACTCACTATGCTATAAAGATACAACAATATGTAATATTGTGATGTTGTATAAAATACAAGAAAATAAGTAATGTAAACAAAATAATTCTAGATAAAATAGTTTTGGATTTGTTACTACTTCTACTACGACGAGTAGCCTACTACTACAACTAGTAATACTATTATAATAATGTTATATATATATATATATATATATAATCCAGTAGAAAGTGCAGTTATATTGTTGTAAAGGGCTTGTTTTAATGACAACAGTTGGGCCACTAACATATGAATAAATCATAATGCAAAATTATCTTTAATGTTTGTAATCAAATTTTGTAAAAAAAGAAACATGGTACACATGGTACAAAACAAAACAGATAGCAGTAGGTTTTAGGGTCCTGTGACATCTTGGGGCTAAAAAAAGAAAAACACTTTTTTAAATCTTGTAAGAAATGTTAATTAAACTACGTGTAGGTTGTTTGACCTGACTGGTCCACCTTACAGTTATTACGGTAATTTGAAGAGTCGCAAATCAGTAGTCGCTGTCGCGCACTGCTCCCAGCTAGCACAAGCAAACGCTACACTTCTTACTTCATGCATGATGCCGCTGAACACATAGATGAGTATCAGCACTGTTTCAGCATAGTTTTTTTGTAAAAACATATTTTCCAAGCTAATAAACAACTTCTCGTATGTGCAGCAGTGGCCATTCTTTTCAAGATGGACAACCGACTGTTAGCTACCAAGCTAATGTAACATAACGTTTAACGATAAGTTTTGTACGCTAGGTTAGCTAACGGACCTGTGGATAAACTGTAACGTACACACGGACAGACAACATGGCAGAATCATTGTCAGGGGTTAATGTTGTTCTGGTTATGGCCTATGGAAGCTTGGTACGTGACGCTACGTTTCTGTTTTAGTTGCTGGCTGATATGTACTCGTGTGATGATGCCGACGTTAAAGCCCTGTCCCGTCACGTCTGGTCTTGTGTGCAGGTGTTCGTGCTGCTGTTTATCTTCGTCAAAAGGCAAATCATGCGTTTCGCAATGAGATCCCGCAGAGGACCCCATGCACCCATTGGCCACAACGCACCAAAGGTAAAGTGGATCTCCACTTTTATACGTTTGATTACCTCTTGCGTTGCCAAAGAATAGTTGACTACTGTATGTAGTAGCTGCCGTTGGAGTGAGAGTTCACGTGTCTGTGTATTTTCTTCGTGAATTGATTTAGGGTCTGAGGGAGGAGATTGACTCCATGCTGTCCAAGGTCCACGAGATCCGCTTCGAACCTCGTCTCATATCAGAGGAAGACGACAGGCTGGAGCAGGAATCACAAATCAGTCAGTCACCTTATTCAGCTCATCTTGTTGCCACCTGAATCTCACGTACACCTAGAGTGCACGTATGTGTCAAAAAAATGTGTATTTTATTATGTATTTGTATTATGTTTATATTTCACAGGTTGCTACAACTACCTGTACAGAATGAAAGCTCTGGATGCCATCCGTGACTCAGGTGAGAAGTCAAACGTGATGCTCGGACTCACTGATTTTGCAGGTGCATGCATTGTTCTTATCATCATCTCATCACATAAACTCAGTCTATTATTCTCACACGCATAACGGTTATTCTCTCTCAAAATCACTTCAACGATTACCTCTTATGGAGAAGCAGCAGTTCAAACACCTTTCATCTGCTAATCTCCAATGTTTTTAAAAATGGATTTCTTAAGTCATTAGTTTTTATATTGATGTATTATACTCAAATACCAAATCATGTTTTTTCTAGTGAAGTATTGAAGTTTCATCTTTTCTAACCTTCACTTGTGGTTCCTTCCTGTTTGGACCTCAGGGATTCCTCTGCAGGAGATAAGCCGATCTCCCAGTGCGTTCACTGGACGCAACTTCAGGAACTGGCTGCTGGAGTTGCGCAACTCCCACTCTCTGATCAAGAGCAGCCGCAGCCCGCTCATTGACCGCTTACTCGAAGGCTACGACAGCGCTCGCCATGGGACTGGGGTGCTTACGAGTGTTTTTTGTGTGTGACTGGATTGGGTGATGAAAAGAAAATATGAATATAATGGGTTTAACAGTTTAACATGTTGCAGCATGTTACAGATTTGACTTTAACCGTTTCTTTCAGGTGTTTGGGGAAGCTGAGTTTGTCGAATACCAGCAAGCTCTCAACGAACTGGCTGATGTGTAAGTGCTGCTCCACTGGTCCAGACTTGAAACATTGTTGGAGCTAGTGTATGCTTTCACATGTAATCGTTTCTACTACTACTAACACACTGCTATTTCATTAGATATCCATGAAGATTATTATGTGTACTAGTGTTATTGTATATTAGTAACTCCCCTTTTCTTCTCCCCTCCCTCAGGGTGAAAGCCTATTCCAGCACCACCAGCCTGGACCAGCACCATCAGTCCGCAGCCAAGGACCTGACAGGCTCTCCTGTCCGGAGCACTCCCTCCACCATCCAGGTCACCTACCTGCCCTCCACTGGCCAGCGCAGCAAGAGGCCTAAACACTTTCTGGAGCTCAAAAGTTTCAAAGACAACTACAACACCTTGGAGAGCACCCTGTGAGAGATCGCTGCTACAGCTGACTGTCGCAAAATGTTTGTGTGGACAAACGGCTGCAACAGCCTGCTGGAGAACATAAAGTTGTAATGTACTGTAATTTTGTTTTCAAGTTGAGCTTTAAAATGCACCCACTAATTGAGTTGGGAAAACTTCTCCTTTCCGTAAGGTACACAATTTTTCAGATAATTTCAAAGAACTGTCTCTTTTTATAACAATTGTTAGAATCTTGCAGTCACAAGGTGTTTTTTTTCCCCTCTCATTTCACCCAAGGCCTTAGTTTGTATTTTGGAACTAATGAACATGTCCAGAGGACAAATATGATTGTAGCCCACATGGCAAGGTTTGCATTGTCATTTTTTTTAAAACAGCAAAGTTAATGGCAAGTCAACTGGATTTGTTCAAAATGTCCAAATGTAAATATGAGTGTTTTGATTTACTGTGTTTGTGCATATGTAAGATATTTATACGGACCATCATAACTTATTTCATTGATATTGTGCGATTTGTATTTATGTGTGGTTGAACTCTGAGATAAAAGCTTTGCAACTCACGTCTTCTTTTTCAGTGTCTTTAATATCTCCACTAGGTGGCAGTACAAGGTCACAGAGTAAAGATGCAACAACAGAGATACAACAAATAAGTCAGATAAACCAGGTGTTTCATTCTATTGAAATAACAGACTGAACTTCAATGTATCTATCTACAGTGTTCACAGTAAATGGGTAGTTTATCAAAATGTACATCCACGAGTCCAAGTATTTTACAGAAAAACAGCCATACAAACAATGTATAACGATTTCAGTAAGTTTGAACCGGTGTTATTAAATATGCAATATTATACCACAAAACAGGCAGGGTATGTAATAAGGGTGTTGAGGCATCACTTGGCAGCATACATAAGAAAATAAATCTTGTTATCAGCTCGCATCTCTACAGGTAGCCTCAAATAAGTATTTATCAGCATAGCTAAAAAGAAAAAGGTCTAAATTCTAATATATAAAATAGCATTATCACTGTGATTGTATTTGTACAGAGAAATATATTTAAGTTAAACACGACTCATATTTTAACGATGACATAGCCAACTGCATGCCTGCCATTGGCATTGTGGTGCGAAGCACTGAGGAATCTGACCCTGAACTGAGGTCAATAGGTCAAGAGGCTGTAGGATGAAGAAGTGCTGGAAACACTCAACACAGTGGATTATTTGTACATTTGTCTAAATGTGTGTCTAACAGGGACATTCAAAAATAAATAACAGAGCTGTTTTTAATCTCGACCCACCTTTTACATTGAGCTGTTCACACATCTTATTTCTGCATGGGAAAGAAGTGGAGGTGGATACAAATAAACACAGAGAACTTTACTGAACTCTGGCTACTGCCACTGCATCGTTACGACTTGCTGACAAAGCACATGCTGCACAGATTTGTGTCTTTGTATATCATGTAAGACGTTCAGTAAAACTCTTTGCATTGCACAGCTCCTTCCTTGTATCTTTTAAGGATTCCTCCTACCATTGGAACCTAGTTTGAATTCTTCTTTCCTTTTTTAGATTCTGTTTGACACTGAAGGGATGCAGTAAATGTATACAGAGCACTATGGAGGTACTAACCAAAGGACCAATGTGCTTTGTCACCATGAGGTCTGCTAAGCCAGCTTTTGTTAAATCACTGCAGATCTACATTTTACATACCGATGGGTGGTTAAATATATATTTACACTTTATTTTCCATCTGGTCATTCCTTTGGTTGACACTCCGTTCAGGACTTGATCTCGATGACTTTGATGAACGGGAGGGCTTTCTTGGTGTGTGTCGTTGGTGTGATTGTTTTACTGCACAGAACAGGGGAAAATAATTGAATGTTTTGAGGTTTATGTGGACATTTGAATTTAGCATGACTGGCAGACAAGACGCCGTCTCAGTAGGAAATCAGCGTTCTTAATGTAAATAAGAAAACAAGCAGCTTACCTGTAAACAACCTCTGGCTTCTTCTCAGTGGATGTCGGGGGCGGAGGCTCCTGGCCTGCCAGGAAGTACTCCAAGTGGTCATGCATTTCTCTGTTCTGCAGACGGAAAGGGGTTAAAGACGTTACATTGTGTGCAAAGAAGCACCATTGCCGTCACAGAGAAGTACTATGAATGTTTCACATGCAGGACAACTTTTCGGCTTTTACTTGGTTGGAAAAGTGTTGAAGCTTTAGCGAAGAAAGGACAACTAAAAACACACATTATGTACTATATCAAAATGTCAGACGAAAATTAATTCAGATTCTAACTACGAGGCTCCTGACCTCAGCCTGCAGGAAAGCCACCCTCTCCTCCAGATCCCCGATGAATCGATCTCTCTCTTGGATGACAGTCCGGGAGTTCTGCAGCTGTATCATAGAGCGAACAAACAAAACACAAACAAACAATGAGATATGCTCAGGAGAAACACTTTTCCTACAGGAGCAGACGTGGCATCACTTATTCATGACGAGTGAGTTTTTTGTTTTCACCACACGTTTCTTCTTGACTTCACTGCTGCACATCAATTACGCTTTATGTGTCCACCTCCTCAAAATCTAATTTCCTTGTTAATGGCTTCCTGTGCCGTTGTGGGCACCGGAGAGCTCATTATGTGTGTGTGTGTGTGTGTCTGTGTGCACCTTGCACTGCTAGTCAACCTGTTTGTGTGCATAAGTACCTGTTCGATCATGTGGCGGACTTTCCTCTGCTGACTCTTTAACATGTCGTCAAGGTGATGGATCTTTTCCTTCAGAATGGCCACGTCCTTCTCCAGCTCCTCACACCTGCAAACACACAAATATGTGAGAAAACTCTGTCAAACTAACAGCAAATGGATGAAGTGTAAAGCCATATATTAACAAAACTACTGAAGTGGAGGTCATGTTAGTTGCCATGATTTGTATTTTACACCCTGGGAAGCAAGTAATCTATTTTAAGATTATATTTGGAGGTATACTGTCTCATGTTAGAAGATGTATAATGAGGATGAATTCAGGACATCAAAGAGTGAAACATAACATCATTGTGTACAGTATACAGAGTTTTCCTTTATTTGTACCAATGATTGTACTTTGTCCCATCACTTTGTTTCTCTTCTCACCTCTGCTCACTCTCCTTCCCTCCCTCCTTGTCTGCTTTGAGCTGCAGCAGCTCTGCCTCCCCTGCCGCCATCTTGTCTTTGAGGTTGCGGCTCTCGATCGCCATGCTTCCCAGCAGCCTCTGCAGCTCCTCCACCTGCTGACCCTTCTCCTCCGACTGCTTCTCCGCCGTCTGCAGCTGCTCAGACTGCTCGGCCAGACGAACACCATACTCGTGCGACTCAGCCTGTTAGGAGAGCCACAGAGTAAGACCTTGTTTGGGGTTTTCCTGTAATTAAGTAGTGGTGGATACCATATTAAAAGCTCTGCACACACAAACAATGAGTGTTTTCAATTACTCTGGCTGATTAGACCTCTGTCACATTGCAGTTGTTTGGGGCTAGCCTACAAATACCCAGATTATCTAAACCACTTTATTTGGAAGTTAAACCAAAAATGAGTGAGGCCATAATCCCTATTTAAAGAAGGACCAACTGTGCACACATCCAGGCAAAAATACTCAGGTGTAAGTCACAAAATACTTAACAGCAGGGCACAAAGGAGGTCTGCACACTCTTAGGCTCCAAATAAATACTTGATTTCTCTTTTGCTCTTTGCAAGGCAATGTTTTGATAAACAAGATCCTCCTTAGCCTTTATTATCCCTATTTGCACAAGAGTGATGGAAGTTAAACCAGGGAAGTCTATTAATTCAGTTTAGTTAGTTTAAAACCTCTGATTATCTGACTGCTCGTGTTTTCAGATAGCAACTTAGTGGGTTTCCCTGATCCCAGTAATTAACTTTGGGAGTACAATATTTTGTATAGAGCTGGTTTGTGTAATTGGAAGTGGCATTTCTTACATTGTTGTATATTTACTCTGATCGTTTCTGAATCACAACCTAAACGTATTTGCTGATGACTTGCAATACAGCTGAATAAAATGACACGTTAGGGTTGAAACTAAAAATGGTTCTACGTCTCTGCCTGTTGTATTAATATAATTGTGCTGTTGCCACTAACTGTAAAGGAGGGTTTTAGTACTAGACCATCAGGATAGTGCTCGACAGATCAGCCTGTGGTTAGTGTCCCTACATGACCTGACAGATGAATGTGCTGTAGAGCAAAGACCCAAACAGTGGGGGATCACAGGATGAGGGATGAAATCCACAGATAAGACAGATAATGAGGGCGATTAAAGGAACAAGGCAGCAGCAGAGGAGTGAGTCATAGCCGCAGACAGGAAGGCGTGTCATGTTACTCGTCTCGTGAGACAGACCTGCAGTCTCTCCCTCTCCTCCCGATGCCTCTTCTCCATCTCCTTCAGCTGCGCGTACAGACGCTTGGTCGCCTCCCTGAGCCTCACACTCTCCTCCTGATTATCTCCGACCTGAGAGTGCAGGCAGACAGAAAGTGACACGCTCAATCAGGATTAATCTGGCAAACCACTTAAACCCGAGGGCAAGGCTGGCGCTGACAAACAGAGAAGAGCGGCTGCTGACAGGCTATTTGCTCCGTGTTTAAAAGGCTGTTTGGCCAACCCGGAGGTAACAAAAGGCATTTAGACAAGAAGCTGGACGCACGGTAACTTGTGCAGAAATAACTTAACTTACATACTTTTCCCAGACAAAAAAATGCACTCTGCATTGCTGTATAACCATGACAGCACTTAGTGTAAATTGACCCTTGGTTACCTACATACCACACATACAGGTCACTGGGTATGGATAGCCACAATACCTCCCTGCTCTGACTCAACTGCCCTGGTAGATTATGGTGTCGTGTTACAGGAGATGTTGTGATGTGCCGAGGCTAGAATAATGCAAGGGAAATACAATATTGTGTGTGTGTGTGTGTGTGCTCGCTATTAGTCAGGATGTAAGTGAGCCCTTCGCTGTGTGTGTGGTAAGTTTTGTTATGAGCTTCAGAGAGTCTGGCACCGTTGTGTTTGGAGCAGCAGGCAGTTGGATTGTCTGAATGCGAAACAGCTGGAGGGCCAGACATTTTTTCCATAATGGATGTTGTGCCTGTCACTTAAATACACATTTGAAAGCATTCAAACTAGTTTCAGCTGAAATTGTTTTCCGCTATTCCCCGTGGTTTATTCATATTAAACTGATGAATAATCAGATTATAAACGCAAGCACAGCAAACATCAGTTAGAGAAGGCTGTATTGTTTTAGGCTCACCTGAGCGTCTGACTCAGTGGGAACAGTGTTGATGTTGCTGACAGCCGGTTGGCTGCTGGACAGGTTGACTCTGGAGCCATTGGCTGGATACTGAAGAGGAGAACAGCGGTTGGTTAGTGGAGTTAGGGCTTCATTTCTCCTTTTACTCGCACAATGTACAACTACTAGAGTGGCCCAGACAGATCACAGCACTGCAACTTGAAGTAAACACAACACATTGAGAAACACTACAGTTAATGTTGTCATGCATCGTGTTCTTGTTGCGTTTACGATTAGTTGCACAGTCGATGAGTTGCTGTTACAAAACACAAACAAAGGAAGAAAATATGTCCGCCGCTTTTGTCAGGAGAGACTTCAGAGATTTAGTCCACACAGATATAAGGCAACCAATAAGATTGCAGTACTCTGAGTGTGTTAATCCTCTTCCTTCATTCACGTCCACCACTTTGACAAGACGTATACTGCACCTTTGCTTTTCGTTCATTGACCAAACAATTATTCGTCTAACTGTTTCAGCCCAACATTCATCAAAACGTCTTTATGTTTGATGCAGACGGTGTGTACCTTGTTGTTGTTAGCATTCTGCCTGGCAGCCATCTGCTGTCTCAGAGTCTTCAGACAGTACCTCACCTAGAAACAAAACACAAAACAAAAATTGTTCTGTGCCGAAACAATGCCCTTCCCCTTATTCAACCCGGAGACACACTCGCTCAGATGTTCTCCAGTCGCACACTGACCTCCTGAATCTGCGACACCTCGTCCGTCATCATTTTGACCCTCTCCGCTGCCTCTAGACGGGGTTCGAGATAAACCTGGAAACCACAATGACAGGAGTGTGTTGGATAAAACGGGTGAGCACACAAATACTTTCAATAAGCATGGATAGGTGGACTGGCTCGCACATGCATACAATTATAGGAACAAACACCAAAACAAGCTCACATACCTTTATGACTTCAATTTGTTCTTCTCTGGGAGTGATTAGTGTTTCTTCCTGCTCCTCTGGTTTCTGTGGCAGCACTACTGCAATGCTGCTCTCCTACATTCAGTAAAAAAAAAAAAAAAAAGTTGTACTTTCGTTCATTCAGTAAACAGCACAACAAAAATGTTTTCCTCTTTGATTTTGTACCTTGTTGCTGTGCCGCTCCGAGGTGCAGCCTGACTGATCCTGATCTTGTAGAGTGAGTCTAAGCCGCCTGCATTGGACCTGAAATGAAATGAAAGATGAGGGCACAACAGAGCTGTGGGGATTTTGAGAGAAACAACCAATGAAGAGAAAGGAGAGAGGTTTAAAATGAATGTCATCAGGGAGAAAGAGGGTGGAGGCAAGAAAGAAAAGGCATTCTTTTTGTCATAAAACTTCCCCATACTGAAGTTCCTCTGTGGATGCCACACTGTTTGACTACAAGGCCTAGCAACCGACACAGACGAGACATTTCCATTGCATCCTCCGGGGGGGGGGGGGGGGGGAAGTCTGGTGGTTATGACCAAACAGTCCGGTCTACTCACTGGAGAAAATGAAACCAGTCCGGTACAGTAAGGGCCAGAAATACCAACACTAAAAACAGCGTGAGTGGTGAGTCACTCTCCATTCAACTTTGACATAAAAACAGATCATGTGAGAATTGTCTCATACATGCTTTGACAACTTCACTTTAAAAAAACTAAGTATTAATATAAAATAGCAACGACATACTCACTAGTTTGTGTTCATCCCCACAGGATGGGTGATTATTCTGTTTATAGCTCCTTTATTTGTTGATCATAAGCTGTATTGAATGGGGCGCCGGCTTCTCCTGTTGCCTTAATTAGTGAAACAAAATGATTCCTAATAAAATGGAGACACCCCTGATAGTAAATATAGGCTTTCACTGGAGGTGCATGTTGTTCTATGTTAATCATATCTATTTAGACGAAGATCACATCAAAATCCAGTGCTATGGATTTGTTTCATGTTGTAGAACTTTATTTATCAAGAGCGTTTAAGATCATCCACTGCAAACGGACTAATGCACACAATAATAGAGTACATAACTTTTCAACACGTAAAATGTTCTTGAACTGTGGCACAAAACACGTTATTCAGATTTTATGTTTCAGTGACTGTGACGACCCCTCCCTTCCACCAGGGGTCTGTGTCTGTTTCCTCTCAGGTTGTCTTCCAGGATGTTAATCGGCCACTGATGGGCGACACCTGAGTTGGGTTGGTCCCAGCTATAAAGGCTGCCCCTCTTCTGTGGCTGGGGCCTCTCTGCGCATCTCCTTGCTGTCTCCTGTGCGGAGGACCTGGCTGTTTGTTTGTTTGTTTGAGTTTAGTTTAGTTTAGTTTAGTTTAGTTTAGTTTAGTTCAGTTCAGGTCTGTTCGTTTGTACTTTAAATAAATGTCTATTTATTACTTTTAACTCGTCTTGTCTCCCTCATGTTGCGGCCTTTTGAGCCGGGTCGTGACATACCGAGCATGGTTGTGACAAACAAATAATCCAGTAGATAGTGAATAAATTACACAGCAGGATGGAAAGCTAAAAACAAATTTGCAGCGTATCTCAATTTAAAAACTGAAATGACAATTGACATCAGTTAACAGTCAAATTAAAGCCCTTAAACTCAGCTGGTCCTTTTTTACCAGACATTTTTTTTACAAAGCAAATATTTGCTTTAACAATACTTAATCCTCCTCGGCAACACCCATTTAAGTAAGTGGAGGTATGGCTCAACACAAATTGTGCAGCTTTTCCTCTGAATGTGCAAAGAAAACAAACCATTTGGCTCTTTGACAAACTAATTCCAGTTTAGCTGGAGGATAAAAGTCCAGGTACAGCAGAGTTATGTAACAGCTGATAGTTATCTTATCACCAACTCATGCTTAAGCCTGGCCTCTATGTGGTGTTATGTGTTTGTATGTATGCATGCATGTGTATGTACGTGCTCATATGTATGTGTAGCTTATATGGGACCTGTTGTGGCTGTTGTGTGCCTCCACCATACAGTGCACGAGGAGAAGAATGAAGGGATATTATCAGTCATTACAGAATTATAAAAACTCTTAGGCTGGTTTACTTTGTGGTGCTGCAGTGGGTGCTATCATCATCAACATCAGTGGCCATAATTCAAATTTGTGTGGGCGTCAGCTACAGAGTAAATTAGATAGCAATCAGATCAAATGGCCCATAATCTATTACCCAAAAGCAAAGAAGAAACACAAACAAAATGTCCTGTAGATGTCCTGTGTGTAAGTTATTATGTCAATATGAGAGCTTTTTATTGTTTTGTTCTTCTGTGTTTTTATGGTTTTAGAGTGTGTATGTGAACATGCCTCCCATAAGTCATGTCGACACACATACAGTAATGTATGGCTTAAGGCCAAAGAAGAGCGACCCGGCACGTCACATGTGGCTACTTACGTCAGCGACCGGTTTGCTGCTTTGCATGCAAATGGTTTTGCACGAATAGCAGATCTTTGTGTGTTGTTGCGATGCCTGAAAACCATCACAGTCAAGGTAGTGACAGGCAGGCCGACATTTCATTCTGTGATCAAAGGGAGCGACAGCTTGAGGGCTTCCCACAGAGGATCGCGGCACAGAGATGCACTGGGAGCTGGTTACTGTACACAGGAACATAGCGTCCTGCTCCTCACCGCACGCTAGTTTTGCTTGATGTTTCTTTGGAGCACACTGCATTGACAAGTTTCTGGCAAGTGCCCGCCACTCATCCACAGAGCTTCAAAGTAAAAGCACGTTTAAAGAATAGTTTACAGATAATAATCTTTTTTTCATAAAAGTACATTGTAGGCAGATCACGGGTATATTTTGGTTCCCAGAATGCAAATGAATCTTTAATAGTGCCAACCCTGTATAAGATCATATTGTGGTGAGCGCAGACACCGAGCGCTGAGTGCCAAGGCAATCTCTGCTTGTTAAACATTGTCACCACAAAAAAATCTAAAAAAATATTGCAGAGGTAAACTGCACAGCACCATGACAACAGTCCAAACCAATACATATGAACTGCTCCTACAAAATGTGCTTATTAGGTGTCATTACGGTCAAATGGAATGTGCATGTCGTCATGTTCCAAGTTAGAACAATGAATCAGTGCATACTTTTGTGGTCCTGGCCTGTCCAACAATTAACATAATTAGCAACTGTTAACTGTTAAGTCCTGACATCATAGCTCCTACATTCATGTATTGACACGAAAAACAGACTTACGTCAGCAAATGTGCACGAAGAATATGTAAGTAAACAGGTTATGCTTTATGAATAAAGTTATTATTATTATGCTGAATACATCTTACACTTTGTACTGATCCACTAGGCTGTAGCTCAGGAAATGCTTAATTTCCATTTGTTTGTAATTCCTGGGAAGAGTCAGTGACGTTAACTGAGGTGTTCAGCTGTTGTTCCATTACAGTCAATTGATTCTCCCTCTGAACTATAAATCTTCGTTATCAGATTCTCATGAATCAAATGATAAAGATCAAAAGACAAAAACATGTCTGGCATAACACTGAGCAGAAATATTTCTACTGTGAAAACTATGCAACATCAAATGAATGTATCACAAAGTAACCTCTTGCCCTGCTATTTCCAACAGTAATATTGTTTCCACGCTGCAAATAATCCAAACTTTTTCTGTATTTAATGTACTTCAGGTAATGAATTTGATCAAAACGACGAGACAGTTATGATGAGCGAGTTCAAAGTAAAGTGCAAGAAGGCTGAAACTAATTATTTTCATTGTCAGTTCATTTGCAGATTGTTTTCTTGATAAACTGATGAATGGTTTCGTCAATAAAATGCCAGAAATTGTGAAAAATGCCCATAATTATTTCCTAAAACTCAAAAGTACGTCATCAGATGTCTTATTCTTCCCCAGACCAACAGTCCCAAACACAGAGATGTTTAGTTGACTACTATATAACATAAAGAAAAGACTGCAAATCCTCACAATTGAGAGGCTGAAACTGAGTCCTGTTTGACATTTTGCTAGAAATGACTTCAACAATAAATTTACTCACCAAAATATGACGATTAATGTTATATTTATTGACTTAAATGATCGACTAATAGTAAAAAAAGAGTTAAGTAGATTATGCACAATAAAAGAACAGGGTAGCACAGAGTAGAGCACACAATGTGTTTTAAAGTAGAGCAGAGTAGACTTGAAGAGGAGTAGAGCAGAGTGAAGTAGATTAGAGGAGATAATATCTCTGACACTCAGGTACTCAGGCACAAAAAAAACAAAAAAACACGCAGCTCATCCATACTGCATTAGAGCTGCAGCTAATATGAAAACAGTCAGTTACACATCCGTCCAACGTGACTCGTGTTTACCGATTTGGGGTGTCTGGGCTACAAGAGCATCCTCATACCAGTCAGTGGCCTCCCACAATCAATACACGACCATCCAATCCCAGCTATCGAGCCACAAGCTCCTCCATGACTGCTGTCGGAGATGAGATCATTGCTGTGCTCAGCTGTACTACAGGCTGACTGAAACTGCAGAACACACAACAATTCAACCAGACATAGCATGTACTAAATCCTTTCTAACAAGCTGAGAAAGTAGAACGGTGGATCATTATTTGCACCAACACCAGTATCTACATTCCTTTCCCAGGTGCCAACAGAGATCACAGCAAAGTGTAAAGTCCATCCATCTCTGAGTGCAGTCAAAACAAACTACTTTTATTACAGAGCAACACATTATGATAAGAAAAACCGTAAAACACTTTAAACATGGTAACTTGCTGATATCAGCGAGTCCCACTCTGAACCATCACACGTCGCACATGTTAATTATAAACTCTTCCCTTCTGATTAATACCAACGGTATGTGTCACAAACAACACAACTGAGTCACTCTTGAACAGTAACTAACAAATAGGAAGTGACTATGAAAAGTTTTAAAGTTGCATTTTGTCTTGACAAACTCTATGGCAACGTTTGCATTCAGATGGTGAATGAAATGGAGATGAACGCACTAATTCAGATGGATGTTTGATACTTAAAATACATACAAAAAGAGACATAGTGCCTTGCATGAATCAAATAAAGGGTAAACTAATGTCTCTTATGTGTATGATATTTCTAAGTATCTCTTTGGGCTGATTTAATCTGTGTGTGGGAAACTAGCCCTTTATTTTTTTAGCATGACAACTCCACAATGAAGACATGAATCATAAAAGCAAACACTGTAACGAAGCAGACAAAACTACACCCACAGGTACCATCATGCACTTCCCCCTGTACTAACCTAAAAAGCAAACCCTTTACTTTATCCCTCTGATATCTACCTGGGCAGAGGAAGCTGTCGGGGACTCTTCCCAATGATGTTCAGGCAGCTGCGATCCAGACCGTCTGTGTCTTTGTGACTAAGAGCGTGGGAAGCCCCGGACGTCTTGCCTTACATGGCTGGGTGAGGCTCCGCCAGCTGCCCAACCCTTTTTTCCCTCCAGATTGTTCTCCAGTCAGAGAGCTACAGTGCCAGTCCAAGGAGGCACATGGTTGCTATAGCCTCCCCTGCAGGACTGCAGCGCCAAATACACAATGGAAAGAATGAAGGGAACATTTGTCTGATTGGATAATAAACTGTCCGGAGCAAAGAGGTTTGTTGACGGTGAATCTAAACTGCATGACAGTTTGAAAGCCATCTTTATAGTTTGATAATCAGACTGAAATTACTTTTTTATTTTTTTTATTTATTCAGAGGTCTGGAACTAGGCTTTAATCTTTATCAAATAGTCAATGAGAAAATGAGTGACTAGGTTCAACTATCATACTTAAGTGTAGCCTAAATGTATGCAAATATACACTGATACATAACTTAGCCGGACAATAAGTGATCAATAGATAAAACGGTGGGCTGAAGATGGCTTCATTTATCTGGTACATGGTGACAGTGGTAGGTAGCAGCACTGTGAGGAATGTGTGGTGCGAGTTATATAAGAGAGATTAATGAAGAGTCTTTATACAACAGTGACTGGCACGTTGAGTATGTGCAGTGTCAACAAAACTGTGCAAACAAAAGTCAAATGCCACAGTCCAAATACGTCCATGCTCGCGTGTGTACGTCCATGTGTCTCTGACTACCTGAAACTTAAAACGTTGAACTTCCAGCATTGAAACGATCTCAAATTGAATGTTTTTTTCGTTACAATTTGAAGTGTTATAGGGCTGCAACTAAATCACTCAAAATATTAAAATATCAAATCTATATGTTGTTGTTTTTTAAGTTGATGATTCATTGTTTCGTCTAGAGCCGTAACTAACCGATCTACTATTTGGATATTCATTCCACCAAATTAAAAATGTTTTTAAAGAAAAAATACCCTAATTTTCTGGTTTCAGCTTCTCAAATGTTCATATGTATGTGTTCCTTAGTCTTTCATAATAGTAAATTGAATATCTTTGTGTTTTGGACTATTCCAAAACAATTGAATGTTTGACTGTTTTAATGATAAATTTACAAATGATAAATTGGTTACCGAAATTATTGTTCATTAAGTTGACTTATAGTTTCTTCACTAGCGTATTATATTCTAAATGTATGACCTTATGTCTCACATACAGTGTACCTCACATTTTTGAATTTTGCATGCTTCTTTACACAAAGAGCAGACTTTCAATTTGTGCAAGTATGCACTAAACGTCCTGTTATGTATCACGTTATTATAGAGTGCTGCAGGGATGAGTCCTGAATCCTGGCTCCCTCGTCTTGAAGTCAGTGGGTTTTTGGTTAGATGCCTGAAATGTGGCCTGTGGTTAGCATAAGCTTCAGAGATTTTAATGTTGTGTTCTAGGGTGTAAAATACGTCAGTAGATACCCCTCTCGAAAATGTGGAAGCTTTTATACGTCTTAAAAAAACGCGGTTGCTGACAAGTGGCTAAATGAAACTGAAAAATGACATCACGCCAACTAGTCCACCGTTCCAGCCTCGTTAAACTCGCACTGACGTGTCTGCGGTGTAGTTTTCTTTTCTGCCGATTGCATCCACTCTTAAAGAATCATAAAGGAGGTGTTCATTTGTGAAGATTATCTTGCTGAACAAAGCATATATAAATAAATCCAATTGGCTTTTTGTCAAGAAAACCAGGGCGATACTAACTTCCAGGGTAGGCCTACAACTATGCGTCAGCACTCTATTTATATTTAGTTGTTTATCCTTTTGTTGATATACGAGCAGTGCAAACATGCCATTTAACAACGTCAGTGTCACACACAAAAGGCTCAGACTGGATCTCTCTTATGCAGCCATGTAAGTCAACCCTGCAGCTGAGTTATTTCAATAACCTTGTCATTGTAGCTCTTCCCAGCGTGTTCTCACGCTATGAGAGAACACACATTAACTTCAGTGTAATTTGTCAAGATCCGGAAAAAAAGTATTTAACTCCTAAATGTGTGTAAGTGGGAGGAAATAGGTTTCCCAGTGGAAATCGTGGTTTGCAGAACTGAAGGCAAGCAAGGTCAAAGTTGATGTTTACAGATCACGCCACTAAAGACAGGAACAAAATGCTCCTTAGCCACCTCCGACAGAGTGTCATTGCTGTGTAAAAGGACCAGTGAACTGAAGTCAAGTTAATTTGTATAGAGCCATTAATCACTAACTTCACTTACAGCCAATGAAATGAAATGAAAAGCCTACTCGAATCATATTTTTTTTCATTTTTGTTTTGTTGAAGCACAGTCAGAGCCCATCAAAGCTGGAAACTGCCAAAAATGCATTTGGAACATGCGTTTTTATTTTAGGCATGACTGTATTTCTCCTCTCCCTGCCAGATCTCTGTAGAAACAAAGGATCTGTCCATTCATGCCAACATCCTGGTTCTGAATCATGAGCCATTGTGACAGTACATACCTATTGACTCAATGGCTTAGTGCTGTCAATTACTTTAACACAATAAAAAGTAATGTTTCACCTTTCATTTGACAATTCTTATTCATGCCACTCAAAGAAAAAAGAAACATTCTTGGACTGCCAATGAATAGAGGACATTTCTATTAAACCAACCAGCGAACAAGTCTCGTATTGAGTTCTTTGGAACTCCTGTCATGGAATCCTCTGTAAATTCTCCGGAACATCAAGTAAATGTATTCTTAACTGAGCCTTAACAAAAGGATTAACTTAATAATGTTCTGTGATGGCATACAAAAATACAATTATTTTCAAGCCATTAAAACATGTCTGGAGGGTATCATTATTTAATTTACTTCTAACAACGTTTGAAGTAGGGACTTCTTACTTCACTTGTTTCGACATATCGATTCATTCTCATATCAAGTTACAGTCGGCTATGCTGTGAAGGTATAATGGCTTTTCCTTTCTGAGCACACACATTAAAATACAGGCTCCACACGGTCTCTTCAAAGGCACAAAGTGGGTTAAAGTTCCAGTGAAAGTACCATGTACACAGTGACACAGAAACACAGTCACTCTGTGGGAAAATCCAATAAGTGACGCTGAATTTATGCAACAAGTAGTGTAGTCAAGCAGTCCCAACTGCTATTTTGTAATGATAGATAACATGCAAAAGGTGTTTGTTTTAGGACACATCCAGCGGCCATGGCATTACTTGTATCTTTGTCAGAGTATAAAGGTATATATCAAGTAATTAACTTGCCTTCTAAAATGCAGTCATTTGATTTAAACTACGCCACACCTTCAGGCATTAAATGACTAAATGATGTCACAGTCACAGTGTACTTAATACCATTAGAATGATGCTCAAGCTCTATAGGCTCCTGTTTGTCTTCAGAGTAAAGCTTAAAAACACTTAAGTTTGTAAGGACGAAGAAGAAGAAGAAGAAAGGTGTGTTGGATATGATTCAAACTCTTAGAAAAATAAAATCAAAAGCACATTTTGCTTTCACATGTAATGAGACAATGTATTTAAACATCATGTGTTGGTTGAAAAGTGAATTTCTGCTTTTCAAATGTCTCACAGGGATCATACACATTTATTTCATATGTTATTTCATATGTTACATTCTGTAAACTAGGACAGTCAGTTAGCGCACATTAGCCCGTCCATCACAGCTGTGCGTAAAGTGAATCACCTTAGTCCAGCAGAAATACAGGGAACATAAAGTGGGACTGACTAACCAGAAACGTATTTTTGACTACCGTAGACACATTTAAGTTAAGTTCAATCAGACAGTGATTCAACTGTCTCTTTAATTAAACATGTAAGACAGTTGTATGCATCACTCACGTTAGCTCTGTTGTCCTTTTCTCCATTTCCCTCAGTCCGCCTCACGCCGCCGCTCATCTTGTCAGTGGAAAGACGAGCCCACACATAACAGTGAAGAAGAAATTATAGCTGTGGAGAGTTTCTTTTCTTTCCTATCAGTCAGGGTTTAAAATTTTACATGTCGTCCTCTTCGCAAAAACTGTTGTCAGAACTTTTCAGCAAAGAGTAAAGAGACACCTGGCGCGTGTCCCGCTGCGTTCCCTGTCTGTGCAGGACAGGTAGTGAAGTTGAACGCTGCAGGTCTTCAACATGCCTCCGCCTCATTCACATGGAATGCACTGAATCATAATTCAGGATGTAGGAAGCAGAAAGCCTTTCAGCACTTTTTCCTTTACTGGCTTAGATTTAGATCTTTTTTACTTTAAATATTTTAATAATTTGTAATTATTCTTTAGTCATTTTCTTATCTTGTCTGTTCATATTAGAACATTTATTTTGGTAGGCAGTATAGGGAGTGCGCAGTAGGACCAAAACAAGCTAACTTTACATATTTGGAACAGGTCATTTATTGTTGCCTAGAATGAAGCCTAAAATGCTTCATATTGATAACACGCTGTGAGAGTGGGAAGAATAAATCCAAATCAAACATTCCTATTTATCCTGGGGATCTATCGGGATGGTAATGACTGATGCACTCAAATAAACTGTGTCTGACCTCAAAGAAGTTGACGACGCATCTGCCGAATGGAGGTACAAGAGTGCTGCTGAAAAACAGCATTCTGTCCTCAGTAACCTGCCTGATCTTCTTCCAGATTGATCCCATATGATGTCTCTCCTCATCTGTCTTGCATCAAAAAATTCTGTTCAACCTCTCCCCAATTTTCAAGCAACATCTCTGTCAGCACCAAGAATCTGCAGTAGCTGTGATCTGCCTCCCATGCGCTGCAGCTAATTCAGTGCCAGAGCTGCAAATGGGATGTAGTCCTGTTTAATAACAGTCCGGTCACATGTCAGACGGCCCTGTTGCCACTTGCACTTGCTTACTATCCTGTTAGGCCTATGGATGAACTCATTTGCCTTTGGTGGCATATGGCTTGAAACATTTTTAGGAAGAGTGACACATCGACCCAGAGAAAGTGTCCTACTTTCAGCATTTGACAATGTTGCTGACAGAGTGAGAACGTCGTGATCTTTGTTGAATAACGGATCAAACCAGTGAGGAAAAAAGTAGTGCACTAAACAGAGTTTTGGTATGTAGGAAAAATGTAATAAGTTTACAATGTTTGATGATTTTATTTACCACATTTAATCAACAGTAATCCATTGATATGTTATGAGCATAGATTCAAGCTGACACATGTTGGTTTAACTTCACGCGTAAGTGACGACAGACTGTAGTTTCCTGTTGTTACTTGCTTATCGTTTTAGACAGGTGTGGCATAAAATGAAATGAAAGCCCATTGCCTTTGAAAGACCAGAGTCTGTTTTACATCATGTAATTATGTTTTAAATCGCTTTGTACACATCAATGGAATTCAATAGCCTGCAGTAAATATAGCACATCTGCATTGTGTGAGGCACCTATCGGGTTGAATAGACTACCGGCAAGAATGACACAACTCAAAAGGCAGCTAATTTTGAAAAGCCCACCCCAAAGTAAACATGCACTACCACTATGATGCAGCCTTTGTTAGATGAGCAGCCACCTTTGTATACTATGCAAAATAAAGAGTGCATGTGATTTTAAACCAAATCTTTTCCAGTGAAAGAGTTGAATGTCATGGATTAAATCATGCAAAATTCCTCCGTTTAACATTTTGGACAGTGTTTCTCATTTTTTTACGCATCATGAATGTATTTTCACAACACTAACAGTGCAGGTAACTATTTGACACACCACAGACAAGCTCCATCACTGATTGCCTGCACTGATCTAAACATGGATCTAATTAGACACTTGGTGTCCCTGATTGATGGAAATGTACGGACATGACATCGAAAACATATTCGTGGGTGTGTCATTGAATATTGTAATATTTAAAAAAGAAACAGAAACTTTTGAGGAAACTTTAAGAAACGGAAAGTCCCAACTGTGGGAAACGACAGAAGAGAAGGTGAGCTAAGGACAAAGACAGGAGGGTTGGATGAGGTGGAGTCTTGATTACTGCTTGATGTCTTTAGTAATTACAGTGAACCAACTAAGGATTACAGACTGTATATCTAAGGGGTGGAAGTCAGCCAGAGCTAAAAGAACATGCGAAAGACTTGTTACTAAAACAAGTTGCAAGAATACTGAGGCAGGATATTTTACTTGAATAGAACCAAACACTTGTTCTTTATGTCAAGGTGTTTTTCGGCTAAGTGTTCCATTACTGAAGATGAAATAATAATACACTGCAGGTTTTGTGACATACTCAACATATTCCCACTCTTAGATAGATATCAACATCTGATTTGTTCTCGTCTGTGTCTGCTTCAGGCGGCACGTACCATAATGTGGATAGTCAAATGCTCAGTATAGTAGCAACTGACTATAATGAGCAGATAACCAACGAGGTCTACGAGGGTTATACAGTGATAGGTCAAATGAACACTTAAGATATTTACAGGTGAAATACAAGCATGGATTTCATTTTTACTGAAACACAGCCCAGCCTGTTTTAATTTAGCTCTTTTATATTTATTTTATGTGTCTCCAGTTAGTACTGTACATGACCCATAATATCACATCGCCTGACAATCTATGTATGTATCCATTCCCTTTGACAGTGAAACCATCAGGCAGGCTGCCGTGGTTATGAGTAGAGAGAAACCTGAAGCATAGACAGAGCAGCAGCACAGAAGCAGGCATTGATCTTGTAGTCTCTGTATACTCTGTATCACGTGAACTTGCCCCAAGTTTATTGGTATTTTTAACTGGTGTCTGTTGTAAATACAAAGTCCCAGTTTACGAGCCCAAACCGTGTTTTCCTTAACAGCTTTTATTGTAATACCTGATCATGGATTCACACTTCCTATCAATCTTCTTATAACCTTTCTAATGGGACTGTGGTGCATGTTTTCAGTCTCACATTCACAGATGTATAGACTTTTTGTTTGAATCTTGTTATATTCTTGTCATGAAGGAAAACTACAATGTGCAGTGAAGTGGTGCAGCGCAGGTTTAATGAAGTGAAAGTGGGGAGGAGAGGTTCAGACCTGCCGCTAACTGGCACCCCTCCATCAGAGACATGAACACAGACCAGGCGGGTATGATGCAACGGCCACACCCACGGGATGTGATGCTTCACGCAGCTGCCATTCATTGGGTTAAAATCAAATTAAACTTTTATAAAACGTGTCTGAATCTGAAGGAGGCAGGGAGGGCTAGAGTTTCAAGCATCTAGCTGAACAGGTCACCTCATCCTCTGACCTCCTTTTACATCCGCATGGAAAAAGGTAATTGGTCTGGTTTCAAAATAATATTACATTTACGATTTTTTTTCATGAGAAGGGGATCTACTTAAAAAAAAATTTGATTGTATACTATTAATATTATGAAATCAGAAATCAAGAAAATAAGAGAAAAAATACAATACGTATACCTCTTTTAATTGCACACACGGTTAAAAATGTACTTAAAATATTCATCAAAAACGTCACCAGCAGCTTAACAAACATATTCTACATTTCATAGCATCCTTGCCTGTATTCACCCCCATACAAATTGAAAAGTGGCATGTTACAAATGTAACGACGCCGTCAAAATGTCAGTAGGAAATACCAATCATCCCAGACAGGTGCAACAAAGAGAAATGTGGAACACCTCCAAGACTCAGCTGAGGATTCTTTCGACAGGAATGTACAGGAGACACAAACACAGGCGAGCAAAGGAAACACGATTCAAAGCATTACAGCAGCAGCAGCATATAAACAGAACACATGCGGAAACATGAAGTGAACATAAAGATATGAGGCTACTTTTTAAGGCATCCGAGTAAAAACATGCACGTGAATCAAGGTTAGGAATATATATCAAACCACGTCATCAATGAGGTGGTTAAAGTAGAAAAGTGTATAGGGAGAGGTGTATTCGATTGTCTTGAGTAGCAGGTATGCACAGCTAATACAGTGTAGAAATAAAAGGCTCAGTTTAAATGGCCTGTCATTGTCACATTCAAAGGTAAAAAAAGAAGAAGATTAATATCACTCTCAATACACAAAGAAACACTTTGAGATGCTGACAACACTGACAGATGTAACTTATCATGTGCAAGCAAACACATAAAAGACTGGATAAGATAACAGAATATTTTTGGTTTGAATATGCGAGTCTACTGTATGAACGTAAACCATGCCACAGTAATGTGCTACCACAGTCAATGCAAAGAACACGCAGCAAAGAGCCTTTTTTGAAACGATTCAAGTTGAAGTAAATGAAATCAAACCTTGTATTTGGATGTGTAACTGGAATTCTTCTCCTCAGCATCACAGACAAACGGAATATCTCAAGACAGATAAAACATGACAGCAGTGAAGCAATCACAATCACAGCTGAAAAAAAAAAAAGAAGCAACCTAATTATCCTGACAACCTTTCTCTGTTGGACCGCTGTACTAAAAATAAAACCGAAGAACAACTGCAAGGCAAGTTTGTAGTGCATGGCAACCGAGTTCTCCACGCAAGCGAGTCCATGACGCCCTGAGTGCCTCTCTTTCATAAGAATCTTACAAGCACTGGAGAAATGAAAGAAATCCTTTTATTCGTCTTCCTTTTAGCAGTTGGTGGTCTCGTTCAGGATGGAGGAGATGTTGGTGTCATAGAAACCCTCCTCGTCCTCGGAGCTTAAAGTGGAGGAGCCCAGAGCTGCACGATGCGTGTGCTGTGACTTCCGCCTGAGATAAAACAAACACAAACACTGACTCAGGTCTTCAACTTTCATACATTGCAGCTAAGTGAACACAGGCATGTGTCCAGCTAGTTACTATAGACTGCCACCTAGTGTAAAGAGGACGCATGAGGAACAGTAAATCAACAGTATTTTATGGGACGATAACTCAAGTCCTACTTTAGTTCAGTCTCCAGGGCTGTGACTTTGGCGTGCATCACCTCCTGGAGCTCCTGCTGCTCTTCCAAGTCCCTGAGAACCTTCCGGCGGACTCCCTCCAAGCGCTCCACCTCTCCCTCACTCTCGTCCACCTGCCGCTTCAAGGCCTTCACGCGCAGGGTCAGCTGGGGATGGAGAGGGAGAGGCAAGGGGGTTAGAGGGGAACAGAGGAGGTCACCGGTGAAGACGTGGGCCGCGAGGGAGTGGAGGGGAAGAAGCCAGACGGGGCAGGGGTTAAAAGGCGAGGGGTTTGACAGGTGTGTGGGTTTGTGGGGGAGCAGCCATGGCTATGTAAAGAAGGCTGAGGCAGCAGAGAGATGACAGGGGAAGGGAGGTCAGGGAGCGTCCTGGGGGCCGAGGGAGGTTGGGTGTGGGTCAGGAGGAGTACAGATGAGATTAGTCTTTCGTAAAAGAAGCAACTAAGCACAGTTTGAACTGCATTAATGATTAAACGGCGGGTGTAGGTCAAACAGTATCTGTAGATCATTCTTACTACATAATTAAAACTGCTAAAGTATTACAAACACACCGTCAGGAAACTTGAGACAACCACAGGAAAGTGTTTGATACTTTAAGACTATAGATTTCACCTGTCTGACATTAGAAGAATATTTTGGAAAATACACTTATGTGCCTTCTTGCAGAGAGTTAGATGAGAAGATTGTGTCTGTGTGGTAGGTATGTCACTCGAGTGGAGCCAGCTAAGTAGCTTAGCTTAGCTTAGCACAAAGACTGTGGGAAACAGCTAGCCTGGCTCTCTCCACAGGAAACAAAATCCACCTACCAGCACCTCTACAGCTCTTGTTTGTCTAATCCATAGAAAAAACGAAATATAATGTGTTAAATAGTGAGCTTTAGGTGCACCGTGGATGTTGTTACCTTTGGACAGAGCCAGAATAGCTGTTTCCATTTTTTAAAGGAAACAAAAACAAAGACAAAAATTCAATCTGTAAGCATTTGTACTGGACAGGGAGACACCATTTTGGATCTGGCTCCTGCATGGTTTGAATGCACTTCTTGCATCATTTGCTTTGGACAAATGCGTCTGTCAAATGAATGTAACGTCATATTTGAGAGAGACACATTCTAATCCGACTCTCTTCAAGAAAGTGAATAAATGTCAAACTATAATCATTAACTGGTTAGATCCGGTTAGAGCATTTTGTGTTTAACCAGGCAACCACAAAACAAACACTACTTGAAGATAATTTGCATGCAAAATATGGACAATTACCTGATCTCTCTGCTCAACATGCTGGCTTCTCTCCTGGTCTAACGTGGCATTTAGCTCTTTCAGTTTCCTCTCCATTCGTCTCAGAGAGGCCTGGATACTGGCCTTCTCTCTGTATGGAGAAATTCAGAATTAACACGTTGTTATGGAACTTTTCTTCTTTCCCTTGCCCCTTTCCAGGTGTTTTGTTATAGACGGTTGATTGCTTTGACTCATTAAAATATACCCCAGTAGGACTCCATATCTAGATTCCTTCTTTTTTGAGCCATCACATTTGTTCAGCCATACCTTTCTTCACTGTGTAGCATCTCCTCCAACTCTTGAATTTTGTTTTCCAGCAGGTTGAGTGCAGGCGAGGGCCGAGTGTGTCCCTCCATGTCCACCACGCGGGACTTCAACTCCTTTATCTGGGAGGGGAGTGGGACAGTGAGCTGAATGAACTACTGATTTTAAGAAAAAGCTGTTCCAACTGCGTGAGTGTGAATGTATGTGCATGTGCAGGGAATGAACGAGGGAGCAGTGCCTGTCTCTCAAGTGCGCTCTTGTCCATTTCAAGGTCGTGTCTCGCTGAACGCTCCTGCATCAGCTCGGAGCGAAGCTGGTCCACCTGAGAGGAGGGAGGGATGAAGAGGCCGTGTAAGTACACCTGTTATCAAATAGAAAGGCCTCCTGCTTATTTGCATGTGTATTCAAATATTTCTATGTGGCACCTGATCTCTGGTACGCGTGATGCGTTCGTTCAGAAGCTCCACGCTGCTCCTCTCCTCATCCAGTTCGATCTCCGTGGTCTTAATCTTATCCTGTGAACACGCGGACAGACAGATAGTTACATCTCAATCTGCCCATACTCAGAGCGCAACCCTTTCACTCCATTTGCTGACAAATCACTGTCTCCCTAATTTTACTCCCATCCAACTTTAGACACCCCAGTTGGTGAACTTTGACCTGGAAAGACTCACCTCCAGGCCCCTGATCTCCCTGGAGCGGTCGGTGTGGGTGCTCTTCTCTGATTCTAGTTCGCTGTCCAAGTGTTTGAGACGGTTGCTGAAGAGGTCTCTCTCCAACTGGGCGCTGTCTCTCTCCTCGCTGCACACCAGCAGCTCCTTCTTCAGACGGGAAACCTGGAAACAAGATGGAGGGGACCATAATGTGTCTCGTAGTTCACTTACTTTCAAGCAGTTTCTGTCCTCAACATCCCCCCAATCTTAACTTAAGAGTTTGCTGGGCATGCATGCTCTTTTTCCATATTTCCCTGAACACTAGAGCGTTAACTTTTACGGCAATATTGGACGAGAAGTCCTTAAAGTGCTCAGGACAAATAGAAATTCAATACATACAATTCCATGAAGACTGGCCATCAATCCAATGGTTGTTGAGGTATTTAAGTCAGGACAAAGCCCACTGGCCAACCTACTGACCGACATTCTTATCCCTCGATCTGTACTGCTAGCATGGCTAGAAAGGCTAAAAATACATATGAAGGACTTTAAAAAGAAAAACGGGCTAACAGTTACGTTTTTACTGTTGGGAAAATCTTGTATTTCATACTAAAACAATATAAAATCTTTTTATAACATTTCACATGTTCTGTGTTTCTAACCCATTTGTCCTCACCTCTTCCTGCTGGGCCTTGAGGATGTTCTGAGCCCTCTGCAGCTCCACCAGCCGGTCTTTGTAGTTGCGCTGGGCTTCTAGCATGTCCTTTCTCGAGCGCTCCCTGTAGTCTTCAAGTTGCGTCTGAAGGGTGGCAACTGACTGACGGGAATCTCCCATCATTATCTCCATCTGACAGAGGAGGAGGCAGGACGAGAGAAACGGCAGTCAGTGACGATATCTCTATATATCAGCAGAGACGAGACATAGTTCGAACCCTAACCTCTTTGTTCATCTTCTCCAGGGCTCGGTCAAGCAGCCTCTTCTGCTCCTCCAGGTCACTCTTGCCCCTCCTCAGCGCCTCCCTCTCCAGGTCCCTCTCCTCCAGCCGCCGGGCCAGCTCGTCCTTCTCCTTGCTCAGGCGGGTGACTCCTCTCTTGGCCTCCTCCAGCTGAGTCTTCAGGGAGCGGTTCTCATCCTCCAGAGCTTCCACCGCCTCCTCAGTCTCTGGGCTCCGGGGCGCGCTGGAGTGAAGCCTCGTCTGGAGAGCGAGAAAATATCGACTCATGTGTGTTTTTATCACTACTATGCTATAAGTATGAGGCATTTACTGTGGGTATTGTATTGATATACCTGTTTGGCCTGTGAAACAGGAAGAGTGGCAAATAAAAAAGGGCTATAAGTTTTGTCACATTCAAAGTACAGTGGTGTACAGTCTGTGCTTTGTTGCCCTGATCACTGCATACTAACTCCAGACCAAAAGTTATGTTTATTTGTGTTGGCTTTGCACTTACCCTGATTTGTGTGTGACTATGCTCTTCACATGATCATTTCACATCAAAACTAACAAGATTATAGCATCTTAAAATAGTGAGGGAACGTTGATGTTCCAACGCGCACGGAGCACAATGCGCATCTTGCTCACATTTATCTCGAAGGGATTATTTTCTGAGCCTACATGTTTGAATTTGTCTATGGATTTAATTCACTTCACATCTCTCGGTTGAAAATAGAGTGTGTGTGGGAGGCCATTTCATTCGTTCTTGTACAGTACGTCGGTTTACATGCTTATGCATGCATGTGTGTACAGTTGTGTGTCTTTTTTTTTTGTGTAGTACCATGCGGGCCAGCCTCTCCCTGAGGCGAGTGTTTGCTTCCTGGAGCTCCAGGTTGGCGCCGTGGTCCACCACAGTCTTTCCTGAAGACCCGACTGATGACTGCAGAGAGAAAAAACGTGCAAACTTTACATGAAGTACATGAACTTTACTTTAAAATGATGACATTCGTCTATATGTACGCTCTACTCCCTTGTTCGTTTTGTACACTGAATCCATTTCAATTGCACTTTTTGTGTTGTATCCGTTATATCATCAAAGTCACGGCAGATGACGCCTCACCTCCTTTGCCTTCTCGAGCTCCTTTTCCAGCTCGGCCTTGTCTTTCTGCGACTCCACCTTCAACCTGCTGATCTCAGACAGAAGCTCAGCCTCTTTCTCTCCACTTGCTTTCTTGAGGGTTCGAAGTGTCTCTCTCTTCTCGTCCAACTCGCCCTTTTGTTTGTCCAGATCAGCGCGAGCCCTCTTCAGATCATCATGGCAACGCCGAAGCTCCTTGGGATAAGCAATCAGAGATGAATAACGTGTGTGTGCGCGTATGACGAATGTACCAGGGCACACAGCGATGTGTCAATATGAGTATGGGGCTTGTGAGTGTGGATTTATGTGTGAGTGCAGGAACAATGAATACGATTATTGAAGCTTCAGCTGGAGGAAAACCCTACTAAAAAAAGAAACACCAGTCGTACTGTAAAACACAGGAGATGAGCCCCTGCATCTCACCCACACGGCGAGCATAATCTGCCTTGCTTTGAATTACCTCGGCTAAAGACAAGTTATCGGCAGACGCAGGCGTTTGTTTCTGCGCGCTGAGCAGTAAGTCCTTACGATCTTTCAGCTCGCCCTCATATTCATCCCTCTGCAAACGAGATTTCAGCAGCCTGCAGAAATAAAGAAGATGTTATAAAAAAAAGTCTCAATTTTTTGTTTATAGAGAAATACAAATGAATCCTGGATTGTTTCTGCTGAATCTTTCAGGCGAAAGGATCTCTTTGACAAGGGTCCAGCGAGAACTTTTGAACAAGCATTCCCCTATTAGCAAGAAGATGCATTTCATTCCAGCGGATTAAGCCCAGACCTCCTTCTGTTAACCAGTGGCATGGAGAAATCTTTCAAGTTTTGCCAATGATGCGCTTGAGCGTTTTGCCAATGGGGCGCTTGAGCGTCTTGAAGGGGAATGAGAAGTTTTAGATGAGCTGTGGATGCTTTTTTGTAAACTACCTCCCAAATTGCACAGCAGACATAGCATGGGGGGGTGCATTGCACTGTGGCCTGGCTTCTTTCAGTGCCCCATTGATGTCTAATGCTCTCCCCTGGGTGTTTTACTGCTCTGCAACAGTTGTGCACTCTCTGATCTATCTTTGCCGTCAGGTGTGTTTTGTATTACATTTTGTTCTTGAAAATTCAATAAATTATTCTGGAAGATACAAAGTGATAACAGTAGATCTATAAACTACACTCACACACACACACACACACAAACACACTGCAAGGCCATAAGCACACGTGCACACACCAAAGTTAGCAGTGGCTAGCCACAAACAAAGCACAAAATCGCAAAATCGTTAAAACCTCAACTACAATTTGAGAGGGACTTTATTTGTGCGATTGTTAAATTGCATTAATTGTTTCTTCAAAATCAATTATAATTAATTGCAATTAAATCAGGATATGTGTTGTTAAGATTGAATGATTGAAAAATAAAAATAAAATTAATACATTTATAAAAAAGGATTTAATTAAGAAAATGAACTAAGTAGATTTCTGAATGTTGATTAGTTGATATGATTGATTGAGTGATTGGATTTATTATCACTGGATTACTGTTAGTAAAAAGGTTCACAGATCTAATGATCAACATCATCAGATATCACAACATTCGCTCTGATACGATCAGAGTGGATTTTGTTTGTATTCAAGTGATTTTAGGGAACATCTCTCAAGTTTAGATCTGCTAATTTGAGGCTAAACCTACTCAAACCAAACAGTGAGACTGATTCTCTGCCTCACATTTGACTGCTGGTGGCGTGCGTCCCGCTGCTGCTGAATGAAATTTCAAGTGAAAGAGGACATGCATTAAAAAATAACTCCAGAGAAGACTGAACTAAAAAGACTTTCTTCAGTGTATCCACATAGATGTTTTTCAGAACCAAAAGTTTTCAGTGAACTCTTTAAATTCTTTGAACTGGTGGCAAAAGTATAAAAGTTAGCAGAGTGCGTTTGATGCCGTTATGGCTCCATAATCAGTTTGGTTCAGCGTGAGATCTTAGAATTATAAGCTTATATCTGAGGTGTTTCAAATGAACATTGATTTATCCACATATTCACGGTCTTTGAACATTACTTCATGCTTATGCAGTGTATATTTTTTCATCCTTTGAAGTTAGATATTGAAAGAAATGTGTATTCCAAGCCCACAATTGACTAATAGAATTTTTAAAAAAGGCTTATATAGACACTGACTCTTCTCTGCTGTTGTGCAGCTCCTGTACGGTGGCGTCCAGCTGCGTCTTCCACTGCTCTTCTTCATCTCTGCAGCCCTCCAGTTCTTCCTGCAGAGTCAACATGGAGGCATTCACCCTCTCGCGCTCCTCTTCTATCTGCTCCTGAGACTGAAACACGGCCGCACACAAACACACAAAAAAAAATAACGTTATGGGTCGTGGGAGTCACAGTGAATTATTCCTCATTACCCTTCTCATTATCATGTCGTGAAAAAAAAGGCAGCGATTCAGACAGGAGTTTCACACACCCAAATCTATCACATATTTTAGTTCAGTTTCTATTTTAGGCAAATAAAGATATTTGGGAACGTGCCTTCATCAGCACTTCTTCAACCTCTAAAAAAATACTAAGAAGCACGAAATATCAGAGAAGATGGAGCATGATAGAGCTGCCACAAACAGCGATCCAACTACTTTAATCCTGCTCCCGCCAAATAAATCGCCACATCAAAAGCAGCTGCCAACCGGTCTGCTTATTTCCTGCTCTCGAGCCGCACGATATATTTTTCCTGACACTGCTGTTTCTAGAATCTGCCTAATGATCTATTCCTGTATACATATATGCTTCACATTTCCTCTACACCACATCCGTCAGTACGACACTCCAAAAATAGTCAACTGGCAGAAACTTAATAACAGAAAGTCAACTGGAAAAGTTCTACATTGCAATCCCAAGTAGCAGAATTCTTGTTTTCTAACTCTGCACAGTGGGCTTAGCGTGACCCCATGATACCCCGACTCAGTGTTTGAACACTGACAGCACACTGACGCATACAACAACAAGACAAAGCCTGGGTGTATAACAGGGCGAATGCAACATCAAAGCACAATTTAATAAGGTCTTAATAACGGATGCAGAATGCACAAACTGCCTGACAGGTATAACCCGACTGTTCTCCCACTACATCCGTACAAAGAGATGCTCCGAAAAGAAGAATGTTCTGAATGTTTTTCATCTATAATCAGACATTGAGGTAACAAGCTAAATAATTTAAGTATAGAATAATTATAGAATTAAAATATAATTACGGTGATCAGAAGCTGAAAGAAATCTTCAGAGCTGGTTTAGCTGTAAACGTCAAAGAGGTTATAAATCCTCCCTGGTTCATTTCTTTGTAATCTACAGGCTCTCACTTTGACACAACATAATGAGGATAGAAACACACAGAGAAAGTGAAAATATGTGTCAGTGTGCAAGTTTATGTTATGCAAGAAAGAAAGTAAAAGTGATGTTGCCTCCTATTTTTAACCAAAATATAAAAAAATAAATGTTGAAAAAGCTGCTCACTTTCTTCATTTATAAAGTGAGTGCAAGTAGTCGGCAGTGTGCAGAATGTTTTGGTTCCCTCACAGTCAGTTTATGAACCGGAGCACCTGTCTGTAAGACTTTCTGGAGTGCTGGACTGGACTGGAAAATAGAGGTGCAGTTGCCCCGTTCTTCTAAAGTGGTATTTATCAGTATCTTGCTTGTTCTTTGTTCAGTTTATTGAATCACTCGTGTTGGTTCAGTGACATCAGAGTTACTAAACCAACACTTTTTTTTGTTTTATTGAACCAGTTGAGATTAGAATATCTTCCTTTTTCAAGGCCATTAGTCTAATAACTCTTCTTTTATGTCTCAGCTTCACAGCTTTTATTCCTTTTATTTCCATCTTTTTTGTGCATAAGGTAAGCCTGAACAGATCCTATTCTTTGTTATATGTTCAATAAACCACTGCTGCAATACAGTTCCAACCCCATTGGAACTTATGGGCTTAAAACGCAATAAAGTTTTATGTGACTAACTCTATGCTCAAAATGCAAAGCATGGTGAAATCCACCTGTGTGAACTGCTCCATGGTTGTTCTTAGGTTGTCCATGTCCTGGCTGTACTGCTCCCTCAGGGTCTCCATCTCCCTGTCATGGCACTCCACCTCCTCCTTTAGCGCCCCCTTCAGGGCCGTCAGCTCCCGCTCCCGCTGGTGTAGAACCTCCTCCTGGCGCCGACGCAACATGGCAGCCTCAGCCAGGTCGGCCTGCAGAGTCATCACGTTCTGCAGAAAGGAAGACGGAGACAGTCAGATGGACGGACAAGCAGAAGTGCAGCAATGTTTTATTCTACGTGTGTCAGTGTGTTTCCCCCAAGAGTATAACTACCGTCTGCACTGAGTGAAGCGAGTTTTCTGAGACCCTCCTCAGCTCCTCCTGAAGCTCAGCCAGCTGATCTTCCTGTAGGCGCAGACGAGAGTCCGCCCCCACTCTGGCCATCCGCTCCTCAGCCAGTCTGCACACGCACACACAAACACACATTATCAATTTGGCAGCGCCAAACACATTAACAAGCCCATCAGTCACGTAATAGTAAAATGATGCTGTGTCAAAACAAAAAGCCACAGGAGCAATAACTGAAGGCTTATTGTTGGGCTGTTAAGTGCACACATTGTACTTGCAAAGCCAGACACACACACACACACACACAAGCAGGTCCTTACTCATCCTGCACTTGCTGCAGTTCATTCTTGCAGCGAGTGAGTTGCTCCTGAAGCTCCTCAAGTTTCCCCTTTTGGAGGCTTCCATCAGATCCTCCTTTCTGTACACAGCA